ACTACTCCAAATACTTTAGCAATTAAGCAAATGAACATTTTCCACTTATTATTTTAACAAACTACGGAAAATCAATAAGACCATGATCATTTATAATTAATTCGTAGACGCTCCCTACGTTAACTCACTACATGAAAGTTAGCTGTTTTCGGTGGATTTTACAGTGGAATAATGTTCGTCCAAAATTACCGAAGGATTTACGATGAAAATTTTCGTAGAAAAATTTGGATTACTTTGCGGCGGATTTCCGCCTCCTGCTACAAATTTGCGGTGGAAATTCCACCAAATATTCGTAAATATTTGCAGCGGAATATTTGTTGCGAATATTTACTTTAAATTTGCATGGGTTAGCTCGGATTCATGGGTTGGCTGGGTGGGCTGTGGCATTGATGCAGGTGGGCTGGTGAGCTTGTAGTAATTTGGAGCGAAAATTCTGCCATAAATCCGCTACAAAATAATGAAAACGTTGCTTTTGGAGCTCAAAATATGTTGTAAATCCACTGCAAAATATTTAAGATGGATTCTATTTTTCTAACATGACTTTTAGTGTCCGAATATATTCTGCTCGAAAAATACTCACTTTCCTATAGTGACCGGAGATTTGCTTTTCTGCTATTCCCGCTTGGCTCAATAATGTACATATCCAAATTGTGCCTTTCACTGCTCTTTGCATTGATTTTGGCACTATTCTGATCATTATTATGATGGCAAGCTCTCTATCCAGCTTATTTGGCACTGTTTGAATTGAATTTTTCTCTTAGTATGACAATACTCATAAATTAATAAAAATCATTACGTAATATTAAATTTGATAAAATTTAATTATAAATTATTTTGTTACTTATTGCAAAACTTAAACATTTATGTGATAGTAATATTTTATTATATTAACTTAGTCTTTGTCAACCTTGAATAATTAACTTAATTATAAAAACGTATGATAGCACCTCAATTGCTAATTAATTTGTAACTTACTAAACTAAATAAAATTCCATCTATTTGGTCTAATAAAATAAAAAATAATATCAATTTGCTTAAATTAATACCTTTTTAATTAACTAATATTAAATATTAAGTTTTATTTAAGTGTTTTTCATTACTATATTAATATTTATTCGATTGAATATTAATAGTTTTGATTAATAAATTTTTTTATCTATTCAAATTAAACAACTTAAATTATAATTAGTATAAATATCTTAATTAATCATTAGTGGTTATTTGTAAACTAATATTAGTGGTTATTTGTAAACTAATTAACCATAATGCTGTGCTTCTTGCATGAGGAAGCTCTTCTTGATCTTGGATGAGAGAAAGAAGGGAGGAGTGGAGCTATACGAACCTCTAATTCCTTTTATGCCATAATCTTCAAGGAGGTAACCTATGCATACATTTACATATTGTGTGATAACTTACGAATCAACCTAATCTAAAACTGGACTAATATACAACAATGTCCACCTTAGTTCGATTTTACAATAAAAGAATCACATGTGTGCCTGTTGCGATCTGACTAACTCCTTGCATTAACTTCACAAGCAAATCTTTTGAATCGAGACCAATCTCACTCACGTTCAGCCTCTATTGTGTGTTACGATCCATGGCTCTAGCTCGTGCTCACATGCGTTCTAATTAACGCGCATTTGCACTCGTCGCTATTCCTATTGTGATCCACATGCGCCATTCCTTGTGCATTGCATACTTTTGCGTACTTTTGGCACACACATTTTGCTCCTATGTGGAACGTCAGCACTCCAGCATCGACCACACTCTAGTTCGCCAGTCTTCCCCGAGCAGTGACCTGCGAATTCGCACACACTACCTGTATGATTTCAAGTCCATGACCAATCTGCCACCCTGAGGGGCTGTTTGGTATCAGATTTACAGCGGGATTTAAGTTGGATTTATGCTAAATCCAGCCAAACAGTTTGTGCGCGCGCGTTAAATCCCGGGATTCAGTAAATCCCGGGATTCAGTAAATCCCGGATTTACGGATTTACAGCTTAAATCTGGGATTTATTAAATCTGAGGGGTAGCCAGATTTAGTAAATCCGAGCGGGATTTATCCGAAGAAGCGCGCGAAAGGGAGAAAGTTACCTTCACAACCAGCGAGCTCCCGTTATTAATAAGTAATTTGTGCTTAACATATTATTAAATTTATAACACATTATATTCTTTATTTGTAATTATAAATTTATTTTTAAGTTATAATTATATTGTTCACATTTAAATGCCTAACTGCTATAAATCCTGAAATATGTTATCAAACAGTTTCTCGGGATTTAACAGGATTTAACATTTGGCATACCAAACAGTTTTCAGGATTTAACACATTTCAAATTTACCAAATCCGGATTTACAGGATTTACTAAATCCCACTTGTTGCCAAACAGCCCCTGAGGTTATTGATATTGCCAATTTGTCTTCGCTGCTCAGACACACCAAAATCCAATCTACACAGTTCGACAATATGTCCAAATTATGAACAGTACTCACCTATGGATCACCCTGCATGCCCAGCTTCGTTTACAAATGATTGTTGCGCAATTTGCCCATCACAAAAGAACAAAACATACCCAGTTGCTATAATTTCTACATCTCCATCTCGTATTGCGATCATGAACGCGACATCAGGCTTCAATGGTGGCACCCACATAGGCTTAGACTCCAACTCCCACAGGCTCACAAATCCAATTTGCTCTACCTCACGAGATTGAAAAGTCACCTCTTCTTGTGCAAGTTGCAAACAACACTAAGCCATCCGCTCCATCACAAAAGAACAAAACATGCTTCCCCATGCATGAGTAATCCTACAGTCTTCTGCATTCGCCCATATGAGAGCACAACGAATCCACCCGCCTGCACTCCACTCAAAATTTGCCTTAAGCCTCTCTCCCGCATGCTAATCCAGTCCACACAGGTAGGGGTATAGACGAATCGAGTTGAGTCCAATAGTGACCTTATCGACCTTAGCTCGTTAGTCAGAACATCAGCTTAAACTCGAGCTCGAGTCGAGCTCAGAAGGTGAGCTCTAGTTAAACTCGTCACACTGTATATTAGCTTGTCGAGTGGCTCGAGTTCGACTCGTTCGATTTTCCTGCCTGTCTTTCGAATTCCCACTCCATCCCATCGAGCGCAAATGACACGAGGTCAGCTCTGTCACGTTGAGCACACAAGGCATCTGCTCGATCAAGAGGTTCACTTCGTCTGGTCGAGCGCATGAACGCTACCTCAATCTGCACACGCACATGACTTACACTTCATCCTATCGAGCGCACAAGGCACTCTTCTTGTGACTCATGCGACTCCCGCTCGATCTCGAGGTCTGCCACCCTCTTATTGCTCGATCCCGGGGTCCGCCTCGAATCGTTGTATAGTTAATATATTATGTTTTTAATCGAGTCGGCTCGATGAGCTCGCAAGTTGAGTCTTGCTGTGTGATTATAAGCCCGAACTCGACTCGTGAGCTTGATAAGCACGGCTTGCAAGCCCATAAACGAGTCGAGCTTGAGCTGGATCGCGAGTCATCTTGGCTCACTTACACCTCTACACGCAGGTGATAGTGCGCCCTGAGCATGCAATCAGTTTGCGCTCACCTGCACGCGAGCGTCCGACAATGCTATACTCAAGTGCAACCCTCGCCTGTGCAACACCCAAGCACGATTTTTACGCCTGCGTTGCGTGTGCAAGCCCGAGACCTAGCCTACGATAGAATCAATGACACCTCCAATGCTTATGTTTGACCCCGCGCCACACATGAACAGATTCACCGAATCCCGCCTTCATCTAGTGCAATTGATTGACTGCTGGCCATCCTGCTCAGCCAGCTCCAGTGACTCCACCTCTTTCTTGAATACAAGAATCGTCTTCTTCCTTCTTTGCCCGATCACTCCACTAGGCTCTGCTACCAATTTATTTGTTTCTTGCATGAGGAAGAGAAAGCTCTTCTTGATCTTGGATGAGAGAGATCGAGAGAGGGAAGAGAGGAGTGGAGCTACAGGAATCTCTAATTCCTTTATTCCATAGGCTTCAAGGAGGTACTATATACATCATTCTACAGTGCTTATTTATAAGCATTTACACATCGTGTGATAACTTGCAGATCAGCCTAATCTAAAATCAGACCAATACATAATACATAATAATTCCTATCTAATTAAATTAAATTACAAAAAAGTAGTAATTTGCTTATTTATTCAAAATTTTTTAATTGTAAACTTATTGTTGCTATGTAATATTATTACTGGTTATAAACTTATCACAAAACACCAAATGTCCAAAATCCTCATCTTTCTCCACCTTCCGCTCCTGCCCAAAATCCTCAACAACAAAATCAAGTTGTGATAAAGAGCTTAATGGTAAAGGAGGAAAGGAGTTCGTGAGACTTGGGAATTTAAGTTAAATCCTCTCATTGGAGTAAAATATAATTTAGAAAACTATAAATTTTAAAATGATCTATTTTGCTTTTATAAAATATTACTAATTTTATATTAATTACCATTTCCAACTCATATTAATCTTCACCGCACGCCTGGGGGGATTAAACCTCTGTAGTGGATGACAACGGTGCACTCGTGTGTAATTGTTGGAGAAGTAATTGCTCTGTTATTATCTTTGTTTGGTGATACACGCCTACCTTACAAATCACTTCAACCAATACGTTCTTTTATTTTTGTCGCTTCAACCAATACCTTTGGAATTACTCTACAATAATCTCAAGTTAGTCCACCTCGCTATCCCTAAGCTATTTTTGTCCGATTTGCTAGCCATTAGTGTTCTTCTATTGCTTTCATCAGGCCTCACTCTTCTTCTCTGAAAATTTTTATGTTGTTTAATCAGTTCTCCGGACAACGAGAATCATCCGAATTTACTCTGCTTTAACTGTTTTTTTATGTGCTTTTGTAAATACTCAGCAAAAGAGCAGCGTGCCAAAAGAACAACAAATCCGAACGGTTAAATCCGAACGATTCTTGCTGTTCGATATCCGCAAAGAATAATTTCTCCTTATATTAATTTGATCTGATCTACTGTGAGCATGATAGTTAAAATAAATCATAATTGAATTGACGGCAGGAATGAATCAGCTACGTGACACAATTTAATGAATCAAAATTCATTGCTTTTTCGGACCTTACTGATATCCGTTTCTTCCTCTGGTCATTTTCATTCTTCAACGCTTCTCGTCGCCAATGGCTTTTATGTACTTTTATGATTTGGCCGGTCGGATATTGTTTTTATGAAACAAGATCTCCGTGTCGTAAGAACGAACCTTCTGAGCTGAGTTTACTGTTGCTTTATTGCCTTCTACTCTATCGCCACACCGAATCCTTCGTCTCTTTACCAGGCACCTGCACTGCTTTTGCCCTTTCCCGTCCTCACCACACCTTGCCATTGCACAGATTACCGGCGTTCCGTACAAACCATGGCCGAAGAACCAGACCTTGCTCCGGCAGACCACTGGCTCTCCCAAGCTCGGTTTCTTATTCCTACGGCTCTCGACAAAGCCAGGTCCGCCTCGGGCTTTACGGTCCGCTGGAAATCCATCATCTCGAAGCTCGAGCAGCTTCCCCCCTGCCTCTCCAATCTTTCCAGTCACCCCTTCTTCTCGAAAAACTCTCTTTTTCGCGAGCAGCTCCAGTCTGTATGCGCCACCCTTGAAGAAGCCATCCTCCTTGCTGGCGGCAGTACCGCAATCGCCGGGAAGCTCCAGATGCAGAGCAACCTCGATTCTCTATCCGCTAAGCTCGATCTCAACCTCCGCGACTGCAACCAGTTGATCAAAACCGGCGTCCTCGGTGACGCCACCGCGCAGTCAGGCCAAGCCGAGGCGGCGCGGTTGAGAATCCAGGAGCTCCTTGCCCGCCTCCAGATCGGGCACGCCGAGGCCAAGAATCGGGCAATTGAAGGGTTAGTGGAGGCTATCACTGAGGATGAGAAGAGTGTGCTCCTGGTGCTCGGCAGAACCAACATATCTGCTCTGGTTCAGCTCCTCACAGCAACGGTTCCCAGGACAAGGGAAAAAGCCGCTACCGTCTTGTGTATGCTGAGCGAGTCCAGAATCTGCGATAATTCACTAGTATCCGAAGGGGTTCTCCCTCCGCTTATAAGACTAGTGGAATCCGGGACGCCGCTCTGCAGGGAGAAGGCAGTGATGACGCTCGAGAGGTTATCGATGTCCGCCAATACCGCTCGCTCTATTGTCGGTCACAGCGGCATTCGGCCACTTGTCGAGGCCTGCCGTACCGGTGACTCCATTGCACAGTCAGCCACCGCCGCCACTCTTAAGAATCTCTCTGCAGTGCCGGAAGTAAGACAGAGCTTGGCCGATGAAGGGGTCATCAAGCTCATGATCCATCTCCTCGATTATGGAATCATGCCGAGATCAAAGGAGCACGCGGCTGAGTGTTTGCAGAATTTGACATCAAGCAATGAGAGCCTTAGAAGGACAGTGGTCTCCGAAGGAGGAATCCGTAGCCTCTTGGCCTATCTAGACGGGCCCCTGCCGCAGGAATCTGCGGTGGTTGCGCTGAAGAATTTGATTGGTTCCATTTCAATGTCGGCTGATAATCTTGTTTCCATCAGGCTCATTCCTCGGCTGGTTCATGCGTTGAAGGAAGGATCCCTAGGAGCACAGCAGGCAGCGGCATCCACCATTTGCAGGATTTCAAGCTCGACAGAGGTGAAGAAACTGCTGGGGGAGTTCGGGTGCGTTCCAGTGCTGCTGAAGTTGATGGAAGCCAAGACAAATGGAGCAAGAGAAGCTGCGGCTCAAGCTGTAGCAAATTTGATGAGTTACACGCAGAACTGCAAGGAAGTAAAGAAGGGAGAGAAGAGCGTGCCGAATCTGGTTCAGCTACTTGATCCCAGTTCTGAAAACACGGCTAAGAAGTATGCGGTTTCCTGCCTTCTCTATCTGTCATCAAGCAAGAAATGTAAGAAACTGATGTGCTCTTATGGCGCCATTGGATATCTCAAGAAGCTTTCGGAGATTGATGTGCCTGGTGCGAAGAAGTTGCTGGAGAGATTGGAGAAAGGGAAGCTGAAGAGCTTTTTCAGCAGGAGATAGATGCTGACAGTTCTCTTCTTACTATATATATGCCACTGTAATGCTTTTGCTATAGCTCTGTACCACCTTTATGCTTCATTATCTCCATGAAGTCGCAAAGTTAGTTGTCCTGATCATCCAAACTTTCTGTCTTATCTCCATTGCTTGTTATTAAGTTGTTTTTATATGTTTTTGTTGCTTTATGAATTGTTCTTCACATTCCAATCGGTTGAAGCAACATTGAGTGCTTAATTACAACACGCATCTTATAACAGACAAAGGTACAGTGTGACAATATAACTGCTTTGCTTTCAGGTTTGGAAATCAATAATGTCAACTTTTGTCATTGGTCCCTTCTTTGATGTCGCTTCAAAATTAGAAATGGCTTTTGGATTATATTTGGTGATGAACTATAGCTGCTATTATTAAGATTATAAGTGTAAGAGAAATGTGTAAAAGAAAAAGGGAGAGCCTATTAAAAAATAAAAGGCTCCAAAAAATCTTTCAGGGATTCCTGAAGAGAAAAACAGCCTGAAATAGAAACCAGATGTAAAAAGAATGACAGAAGGAGCTTGGCCTGGACTCAGGAAATGTAGTGAAATAAACAACATTGACGTAGGCAGCAGTTCCCCTGGTTGCTGGAAGATCATCTAAAGGGAGGGTCAAAGGCAAGAATTCATCATCGTCCAAGGCCCAAAATCACAAAACCTGCCAGATCATAAGGACGTAGCACGAAAATCATCATAGATACAAAAGCACCGATGCAACCCAAGTAAATGCGATCAAACCAAACCGCCAGAAAACAAATTTAAAAAAAAATTGATTGGTTCCCATAGGAGAAAGCTCATCAACAATTTTTAAGCCTCCCCTTAAAGCCATCCAAGAGAAAACAGAAAATCTAAGAGAGTGTTTCTTAAGCGAAACCATAGGGAGCCAATCATTGATAGTGTCATCCACAAAAAATTCAGAGTAGAACTATTTATAAGACACATTATCTTTATTATCCCAAATTAAATGGTTGGGCTTTGTCTGAGAGATGGTAATGGCAGAGATAATATCTCTAATATGTGGACTTAACCGGTGATCATAAGACTTCGTTTGGAACGGCTTTTTTACTGCTTCTTAAAATAGCTTTTTAGTATACTAAAAAAATTTTATGCTAAAAAACAGCTTTAAGAAGCAATAAAAAAGTTGCCCCAAACGAAGCCTAAATTAGAGCAACAGGGCTATTCTGATATTACTTCAATACTTTGATATTGAGTACATAAGACTCGAATCTAAAACCTTTTGGTTGGTAGCCAAAACTCTCAACAAGCAGACTAGAGTGAGTTGTGTAATCAACTATGTTGAAGATCATTATCAATGACTAGTCCTGACCATCTTTCAAATCACCATTTATAGGACCTGTTTTTCTTGCAGCTAATGTTAGTAAAAGTTCATTGCTCAATAGAGATTTAGGCTTCGTTTGAGATGGCTTTTTTATTGTTTTCTAAAACGGAGTTTTAGTACAAAAATAAAAAATTTTGTACTAAAATTCCGTTTTGGAAAGCACTAAAAAAGCCGTCCCAAACGAAGCCTTAAATATGAGTTGAACTGAGATGATATAATAAACTTTAAGTAACTTTTTAAATGACAAAAAAATGATGCAAAAACATGAAAAAAAATCATCAAATATAAAACATCAGCATAGATAATTTATACAATTAAACATATAATTTCAATATAATCAACTCTATATATTATAAATAACAAATTAACATTTTTTTTTGGAGATAAAGGATTCATGTAGCCGACCCCACGTAGTGGGATAAAGGTTTGATGATGTTGTTGTTGTTGTTGTTGGAATTGATCGCCATGGCCAACTTTATTGGTAATATCATGCTACATTTGGTGTATACATGAAGGTAAAAAAAGGAATTGTTAACATCCAAAAACAACTAAAGCCAAAAAAGCACGAAACTGTATTTGTATTTAAAATCTAAAGCTTAAGACATCTTTGTTTGGAACTGCTTTCTTATTCATTTGTTAAGCTATTGAAAAATTAAAAATAATTTTTTCAAGCTGTTGTAAAAGGTTATTTTTTAGTACCATTTTTTTAAAGTAATAAAAAATTAGTGATCAGGTATAAATTAAGATTATGATTCAAAAATCAAAATAGTAAGAAAATAATCCCAACTAAAATATTGAAAATAACAATGTTGCACAACTCATATCATTAATGCACTCAAAGCCAATACACAGAAAACTTAGAAAAAAGGAGTACAGGGTATGCATTGAATCTTGGATGTGTAATACTCCACCAAAATTGCATATATCATCGGCCCAATAAAAAAGCTCCAAAAGATCATATAGGCTTGGTTTGGAATAGCTTTCTTAGTGCTTTTAAGGACGGCTTTTTAGTACAAAAATTTTTAATTCAAAAAATTTTTGATACGAAAAAATTGTTCCAAATAAAACCATAATCAATACTCCATCCAAAAAATTTTGATCCAAAATTCTCCAAAAATTATTAGTGGCCATCTAATAAACTCCAACAAAAATGACATTTGCAATGTAAATCGTTGTGACAAAATGTTAAACCGCAAACTAGATATCAAACTCATTATTAGCCGAGAAATTATTAGGTCTGGACACCGGATGTAGCTCTACATCCAGACGCCAATAACATGTCTCCACGTGCTCTTACTCTTTACCATGCGGCCCGACGACCCGGACCTGGTATTGTTATGTATTGGCTGATTTGTGCAGACCGGGGTATTGCTAGGTATTGCTCGGTATTGGTCGGCTGTAACAAGAAATACCAATACCGAGCAATACCGAGTAATACCTAGCAATACCCCGGTTTTGCTATGTATTGCTAGGTATTGCTAGGTTTTTCTCGGTAATGTTAGGTATTGGTCTTGACATAGCAGTATTTCTCGTTATTGTCAAGCAATACCTAGCAATATCGAACAATACATAACAATACCGAGCAATACCTAGCAATACCGGGTTCCGGTCTGGATCAGGTCGTTAGGCCATGCTGTAAAGAGTAAGAGCACGTGGCGACATGTTATTGGTGTCCGAATGTAGATCTACGTCAGGTGTCCGAACCTAATAATTTTTCCTATTAGCCATAGCATAAAGGCTAAAGCTGTGAGTATACAATTTCTGAGAAATTGTAGCAAGAAGGAGAAAACCCAGCAGCCCAAAACCATCCATAGCCATTCCAGACACAACAACATAAATCATAGTAGCAAATAAAGATGGCAATAATACCCAAAAAACCATCCATCCACCAAAACTGCAGCAAGTCATATGAACCCTCAAGTGAAATATAAATCATGAATGATAGCTAATAGCAGAGTTAAGACTTGATCTTTTACTTCTTAAATGGATAGCGAAGTGTACTATAGAGATTAAGGTTTTGTTTGGAATAGCTTCCTTAATGCTTCTTAAAGCAGCTTTTAAATAATTTTTGTACAAAAAAATTGCTTTAAGAAGCAGCAAGAAAGCCGTTCCAAACGAAGCCTAAAAAATTGTTAGAAGAACAATTTTGCCTAAAGTTTTGTTGTTTCTCTCAATGTAAGGTAACGTGTAATGAAATGTGTAGCAAGTAAGTGAAATTTAGATGCAATGTTACAATTAAATGAAGTATCACCCAAATGAAAAAAATATTTCTATGTTGCACACAGCATTGGGGCAAATTATTACGTACACCAATCCAAACGTGCCACGTCACTAAAATATCCCAGGATTCGGTGTATTTGGATGTCTGAATTGGGCGTTCGGACGTCCGGTGACCGGACGTAATAATTCGCCCAGCATTGGAGACTGTAGAATGAAAAAGGACAGTTGAAGAATAAATGAGTTGAAGTTTCACCGCTAGCTCTATGAGAAATGCAAGCTTGGTCCTAAAAAATCCATCTTAAAGTGATGTAGGAACATCTTAGCTATTGTTAAGCCTAAGGACTAGCTTACCTTCATGCTCTAGATAGTTCTATTTTACTCTTTAAATAGATGGCTAATGTAAGGTTTTGAGCTCATTGAATGATAAAAACTCTTTTGAAGCTTTGAGAAAGCTCTCTTCTTCTTCCCTGGATTGGGAAACTCCTTGAAATCCTTCTTGTAGGTTTGATAAGGAAAAAAAAAAAAACTTAAAAAAAAAAAAAAAAAAAAAACTGATGTGCAAAAATTTTAAGACGCAACAATCATCTGATAGAAAATTATCTGATTTTAGTGTTACTTTTGTGTGGGATCTGAATATGTCGAACAATTGTACTATTGCGAACCTGAATTTCATTGGTTAAGCTTGTCGTAGGGGTTTCTTGTCCTGCTTGGGTTCGGGATTTGTCCAGTGAAAATTTTTTTTGTACAACTATACAACACTAAGGTTCTATTTACCTGTTAAAATTCGCTTCAAACACTTGAGACTCAGTTTAGAGCACATACAACTATTTTCAAACGTTAAAAGACTTTCAAACATATGCAAATGAATTCAAAACATAAAATTTCAAATCTTAACCTTCTAAAATTTCAAATATTTCCTTGTTACATTTTCGAGTTGTCAAGTGTTGCTCCGTAGTTTCTCTTCTTGATTTTGGATTTTCGCATTAAATCCTGATGTTTTTTTTTTCTTTTTGGTATATTTTATCTTTCTTATTTTTATTTGGTGCATGTTTTACTTCCCCAACCCTATGCTTTACATATTTTTAGAATTATAAAATTTAATCTCTATAGCTGAAAATAATTCTAACTCATTCACCTAAATCGGTCTATAGATGCTAAAACCATTCATGAAAAAAAAAATTACATAGCAACCAAGGAATTGCTCTTCCTAAATTAAGAAAATCATATACAGCTATATTTGATCTGAGAGATTCCCTCTTAAATTCTTTCACAATCCATCATTTGCACTCAATCGAATTATATACCCAGCTAAAATTTAGGGGTGTCAATTTCAGGTCATGGGTCGAGTTCAGGTCAAATCCAGAACTGACCCGGGTTCAATTGGATCAATCTTAACCCGACCCGGGTAGGCAAAAGGGTCGGAAACTCGGACTCGGACCAGACCCGTTGGGTTTCCGGGTTGACCCGATCCGACACGGGACGCTGCGCGCGCAGGCGGAAAGCAGGCTCGGCGCGCGAACTCGGGGGAGCAGGCGGGCTCGAGCAAGCGGTCGTGCGGACCCGGGGCCAGCAGGCAGGCGCGCAGGCGGGTGAAATGCGGGCTAGGGCAACGCGGACGCTAGTTGGCAGGGCGTTCGCTTGCGGGAGTGCAGGCGGCCGCGCGGCCAGGCACGGGCAGCTGCGCGAGTAACTGGGGCAGGTGCGGGCAACCTTGGGCAGCTCATTCTAAATGGGTTTCCGGGTTGACCCGGCAATCCGTTGGGTCAACCCAAACTAGACCCGTTTTTCAAATGGGTCAAACCCAAAATTTCCGGGTCGGTTCGGATCGGGTTTTCGTATCGAGTCAAATATTGACACCCTAATCTATATTATAAAACTGAGTGGGCATTGACATCTATTAAGTAAAGAGATTCTTGTAAGCCCCTTTTGCCAATCTTTTGTAAACTTCAAGACCTAATTTTTTTCTAGAATATCAAACAAATAAAGCTGCTATAGAGATTCGGCTTAAGAAAATGTTCGTGAATAAACATTGTGCATCTGATTCGGTTTACCAACTTGAATCAGAATGATCACTAAGAACTGTTGAAGGGCTAGTGAGGCTCTATAGCAACATTTTGTAGGTATTAGATTCCGCGAAGCATGGATGCTTGTAGCTTTAATTTGAACGTTTGGGATGAATAATTTGGAAGGAACAAAATTAAAGTTAAACCTAACACGTTTATGAGTGCCTCTCCAAGGCCTTTCTTCTTATTCGATGTAAGCAGGGGCGGATCCAGTATAAGGGTTGAGTTTTTTTTTATAAATATTCTTACAACAAAAATTTGTTCCGAGGGCTTTGCCTTTCGACTCCTATTTGTTCATCGTTGTACGCTTCACAGATATGTTAGGGGTCCAAGAGAGCAGCACCCCTTAGGGGATTTCAGAGGGCAACGCCCCCCTAACAAATTTTAATTGGAAGGATATTTTTTTTTGGCCTCAAGGTGAATCTGTAATGTAAAAGCCAAAGTTTCAATCAAAAATTTTTTTTTTTTTTTAATATTCTTACAATAAAAAATTATTCTGAGGGCTTTGCCTCTCTACTCCTATTTGTTCATCGTTGTATGATTCATAGATATGTCGGGGGTCCAAGAGAGCAGCGCCCCTGCGGGGGTTTCAGATGGCAGCGCCCCCAGAACAAATTTTGATTGTAAGGATATTTTTTGGCCTTAAGGTGGATCCGCCCATAAATGTAAGAGCCAAAGTTTCAATCACATCAACGGAATTGATACGACATCGCAAAATTATCTTGATCGGGCACGAATCTCGAGGCAAAAGCTAGTTGAAAATTTTAAAAATTAATTTTGGGAGCATGTGAACTCTGATTTCAGCGAGCTTACAGTCAAACTGAGCGTCTCGGAAATACGAACCCAACGACACCAAGATAAGTTCACTTTTGCTATATCGTCTATTCATTTTCATCACCTACATAGTTAATAGTTATATTGACAAGCTTTTACTTAAGGGTGTCAATTCGGGTCAATGGGCAGATTCAAGGTTCAACCCGAGTTGATCCGGTCATTAACAAGTTGACTCGAACCTGACCCATTTAATTAAACGGGTCAGAATTGCTATCCCGGACCTGACCTGTAAGGAATGACCCGACCCGACCCGCGAATGCTTTACTTTGCATAGGGTTGGCGAACGCAATGTGTGAGACCACACGTGAGGCTGGGACTGGCAGTGAGGTGAGGCTAGGGTTGTTGGGCCGGTGAATGCAGCAGTGTAGGAGACTCGCGTTCTGGGTGTAGTCGTGTGCTGCGGTGTGAGTCTCGTGTGTTTCAAGTATCCTACGTGTAGGTTGGCGGAGACGGGTCGGCAGTCGATCGTGCGGCGTGTGGTCCAATGGTCCGTGGTGATTGGGTGAGAGTTAGCCGGGTAGGATGACAGGGTAGAGGACGGCGATTGAAAATCTGGTTTCGAGTCAACCCAAACCCAACTCGTTTTTTAAACAGGTCAAAAACCTGAACCCAAACTCAACTTGTTTTACAAACGTGGTTGACCCGAACCCGGATGTTGAGATTAATATATTTTATGATATTAAATATAAATTAAAAAACTTTTTTTGTCTAATCTAATATAAATTGAATTAGGATATTTTATATAATTTTTTATATGGCAGCCCATCGGCCAAGAAATTATGGATCAACAACACAATTTGGCTGACCCAAGAGCATGACCTGACCCGACGCACCTTTTTTGAGCCCAACTAAGAGATCACACTTCACATATATTCCAACCCACCGGCTCTTAAACGGTCCGGGCCGGTACCTCACCCGACCTGTGATCACCAACCGCAGCGCCACCACACCATAACCCTCGTCATTCATCAGCTCCGCCTCGACCTCGGCCGAAACTGGCACAATATCCGCTCCGAAGACCGGAGACACCACCACAGTACCTTCCGCCTCTTCATACAGCGACGGCAGCGATGACGGCGGAGTTATCGGCTGATCGCGGTAGGAAACGTAGGCGCAGAGGCGGTCGAGCTGAACGGCAGCGCGGCTATTCGGGTTGCGAATTGCGACCGTGAACTGCATGTTGGTGGAGATGGCGACGGCTGGCACAGCTGAGGCGGATTTGGTTAAACGGTAGATGGCAGCGCCGAGCACGGTGAAGTGGGGGCGAGAGGGGCGGTAGACGAGGTAGAGCACGAGGGCAGTGATGCCGGCGAGGATGAGGAGAGTGGAGATGGCACAGCAGAGGAGTCGGAAGTTTGTGCTGGGAGGTGCTCCTTTTTTTTCCATTGGAGATGAAATGCTGTGTTTAGGGTGAGAAGTGGTGATTGATATAGAGAGAAGTGCGGACTGCGGAGCTTGATATTGACGAAGGAATGGAATCGAATATTGTAGTGGGGATTAAAGAGCGGATGGAAGTGAGTTTTTGAATTGGTAAAGTATGAATTCTGGTTTGCCACTTAGTAAGGTGTGTATGATTCTCAACTCAAGGAAGGTTTTATAGACAAATTTATATGGCGAAATAGTATAAAACCTTTCAAAAATGATCAATACTTAATTTATGAACATGAGAAAAACAACTTTATGAACCTTAAAAATGATAGAGAAGGGGAAGTGCTTTGGATTTTTATCATTCCAAAACTTTCTTCTCTTGCTGTGGTCATTTTTATGCAAATGCATGCCTCAGTATGGCTGGCCTGCCTGCATATGCAAAATAGCTGAAAGCATGTCATGACCACCTGGTAAACTATGAGATTGATTGTACATATAGCTGATTTTGCTCTATAAATTTTTGGGGTCATTTTGGTCAATTAAGTCAAATTCATACACACATCACATACACAAAACTCGAACCCAAGAGCTCTTGTTGGGAGCTTTGATGCTAACCGAGAAACCCATTTTCCACTCCAAAATACAGTAATTCATCTCCAATCGAACGACATTTTCTCTCTTCTTTCGTGTGCTTCTTGTGAATGTAATCATTTTCTCCTCTTTCACACGCTTCTTTGAAAAATCCGGTAACCAAATTTTTTTGGCGTAGGTGAGCAGTCTGATGCCAATATTAGCGTCGCATTGTTCACCTACCGAACTTTGGTGTGAGATTTGGAGTTTGGATGGACCGAATGGTCGACGACATACGGTGTGATATGCAGTTCGGTTGGAGATGATCTAACAGACCAAGATGAATTTCTTATTTTGCTTTATAATAAATCCATGAATGTTTTTTTTTGGCAAGATGTATGGCACTTCTTACTTTTAGCAAGATAATTGGATGGGGAATGGTTCTCTTGATTCATTTTTTAATACTCATTCCTCATCTAAGTAGAAAGTTTTTTATTTTATCTCGAATGGTTCTTGGAACATTAATCTTCTGCTTGACCACATTCCTAAGTTTCTTGCTGATTTTATTTGCAATATTCCATCAATATTAACACTAAGGACCCGACTATTTTCAAGTTCTCTAATAATGAGGATTTTTGTACAAAAAGCTATTTGAAATTTCTTCAGGAACAAATCTACTTATAATTTTGTGTTTCACAAAATCTGTAATTTGGTTATTCCTACTAACTTTTCCATTTTCTCCTGGAGAATTCTTAATGATTTGATCTCTGTTGATGATAAGCCAAAGAATAAAGGAATTTTCATTACTTCTAAATGACAATGTTTTTTTTTTTGGAGGCTATTAAACATGTCTTTTTGGATGGACCTATTGCCATCAATGTGTGATATCTTGGATAATGCTATAGGGATTAATATGAGCTATGTTAATACTACATGTTCTGCTCTCCTTACAATTACTTTTTTTTTTACTTCTATGAATTGAAAGAAATAATTGCAAACATCTAGGAATCAAGATAAGCTCTAGCAGAGTCATAATAGCGCTTAAGAATAAAATTCAATCAACTTGTATCTGCCAAGTTGCTTCTTCCAAAGCATTTTAAGGGTAATAAAATTTGGACCTCTTTTTTCAAGTCTCTTTTGCATCTAATAACATAAACTTATACTCTAGAATTTTTTATATTGAAAGAAGTCTTTTTTGGCTCAATATAGATTAAACATTAACGGTTCTATATCCAAACTTGGGGCTGGATGTGCTGGAAATGTTAGAGATTTTCAACGTACTATGATATTTGCATTTGCTTCTTGCCCTCCTGTCTGTAAGGTGATTGTTGCTAAGGCTTTTGTTTTATTGATGAGCCTTAAATTTTGTTTGGACCACAACTTCAGCAAGATTTGGATTTAAATTGATTCATTTTCAGGAAAATCATGTGCATTCATAGTTAGATTGATTTGTGATCTCTCATATTTGTATTTCTTATTCTTGTTCCGCTTTTTGTCTCTCCTTGGATTGTCACCTAAGGGCATCTCCAGCCGAACTCCAGACTCTTAAATGGCGTTCCTCGTTAGCTCCAGCCGAACGGTAAAATTTTCGCTATTTTGCTGCGGGTGAACAGCGGGACGCCAATATTAGCGTTGCACTGTTCATTTCTGTCATTTTTATGTCTCTACCGAACTTGCCGCGCCAAAGAAGCTAGAGATGACTGTGACCTGCAAAAGGGGGAAAAATGGAGTTCAATTGGAGATGAATCCCGGCATTTTTTAGTTTCACGACATTTTTAAGTGAAAAATAAGTTTTTCGGTTGGAGATGCTCTAAATGTTTTCTTATCTTTTTCTGTTTATTCACTTGCTCATTTATTTGGAGTTCTTCTCTATAGTTCTTGTTTTTTTCAAGTTTGGACACTTCTCTTGGTTTCTCTCACCTATGTTTGTTTCAAAATACTCGTCTTAATATAATAAAACAATATATATTCCTATTTTAGTTTTTGATAGACTACCTAATTTGATTTCATTTGAAGCTTTAGCTCTATTAATAAACTTCTTAAGGATTTATGTAGATAAATAGTTTATGCATCAAAGAATTACCATAACTATTATTATAAAGTTGAGTTTTTAGAATAACAAAATTTTGGTGCAACATATGATCAGAGCACCATGATAGAAATATTTTATGATATTTTACAATATGAGGTAAGATTTTATATTAAAGGTTTTATCATCATGTGAAATCTTGTTGATGTTCTTGTAATTAATTTTAGAACCATGTAACTAAAAATGAATATATTTAAGTGGCAAAGGATGCCTAGCAGTCTCCTCGAAGCCTTCTCTTGCTCGCTCTGCTAGGGCGTTGGCCAAGTGGATCTCCTTGACCTCTGAGAAGTTCCCTCCTTTTATGGTAGCATTCCTTTTCATTTTGGTCGGCTTCGTTGGTTTAGGTGGTGTGCTTCTATTTCATATGCTCTGATTTTTCTACGTCGTAGTATTTTCTTTCTGTTATTTTAATTTTTCTGTAATCTAGTGGGGATCTTAAGTTCTTAGGGTTTTTTTTTTCTGTTTGGCTGTAGCTCTCTGAGCATTACTATCTATTGGTTTCCTTAAAGACTTGTATCAATTTTATGGTATTAGCACGTAGGCTCATCCGAGGGTTTTATCTTAAAAACAAATTGAAAACGTATCCATTTGATGTTTCTATGAGAAATTACTTAAATTCATTAATCATCATGGGGTATCAAAATTGACCCTATAAAAATTAAAGCCATCTTTAAATTAAAAAGGTCAAATAAAGTTGAGATCCCTTCAAGGAAAATAAATTTTTTTAGGTATTATTTTATGGCTAGCTACCTAGGGACTATTTTCCTTCCTACAAATAGTAGTAAAAAAATTTTTAAACCTGCCTAAGCCAAAATCACCCTGATCAGAAACTCCTGTAAATATTTTTTTTTTTATCTAAGTACACATTGAAGGAAAAAGTTCTCTATTGTCAATCAAGCCTTCCTATTAAATCTGAAGTTGGCCAACTTCAAATAAAATTACTATGTTGGATTGAACTAATTATAGATTTGTCTTTCTTGCAACATTTATCCTTCAAAGATCTACTCTCCATCTTTAGTACAGAATCCTTATACAATCATGGCCTACGAAAAGAGTAAACCAACTATCAAAGTAGAAAAGTCAAATGCAATTTCTTAAAAGGATGATTTGTTCGCTGTTGTCAAAAATTAGGGGTGTCAATTTCGAGTTGCGGATCGGGTTCCGATCAAACTCAGAACTGACCCGACACTATTTGGGTCAACCTAAACCCGACCCATTTTTGCAAAAGTGTAGGATTTTCGGACCCAAACCTGACCCGATTCGGGTTCGGGTCAACCCTACCAGACACGGATTTAGGAATTTTCCGATTTTCCGAGTTGCCGAACTCCCGTCGCTTTGCATCGTTTGTGAGCTGCTGAGCTCCTGTCGCTACTTCCGATAGTGAGCCATCGACGGGTCGAGCTCCCGTCGCTACTTCAATACTTTTGACTGCGGAGCTCCTGCTGCTTTGAGCTCCCGTTCTTTTACTTCCGACTGCAGAGCTCCCGGGCGCTGTACGTGATTACGCCACTGACGAGTGATGTCATGACGACGAAGAAGTTATTGACGTCGTGGCACAGATGACTAGGCTGGCGGACGAGGCTGACGAACGTGGCATCTATTCAAACGGGTCATGCGACTGACGCGTCAGAGAGCGGGAAACGGCCGGTCTAGGTTAAAACGGGTCGATTTCGAATTTCCAGGTCAACCTGGACTCGACCCGTTTTTCAAACGGGTTGAAATCTTTAATCTGAACCCAAAATTTCTGTGTCGAGTTCGATTCGAATTTTCGGGTCGTGTCAAATATTGACAACCTTATTAGTAATCTCTCAGGGGAGTAGTGTTGAAGATAAGAATTAAGACATATATTCCATATTCAAATTGACTCGATGCTTTCTCTCGAAAATAAGACAAGCTCAAGAATCAACCTAAGCTATCCTTTGACTCAAAAAGATTAGGAAGTGTGGTGGTCTTTTATATTTATATACACTTTTAGGCTAATTAATTCAAATTCACACACAGTATATTACATTATTCAAATTCAAGATATCTTGATTAGTAGCGAAAGCATCCAACCAACACCCTAAATTTAGTTGGTGATCATCCCACCTTAAAATAATTAGCAAGGAAGATACTACACCCGTTAATCTTAATAATGAATTACTGACCGACTAAATTATCCTTCTACCATTTTTTTGCTAAGTAAAAAAATTTAGTTAGAATATATTAATTAAATTTGTAGTTAGAAAAGAACTCAATGATTATTAATTTTCAATAAGTTTAATATAAATTTTAACTGATTAATTATATGATATAACCGTCATAAAACAAATCAAATAATTTCCAGATAGTTCAAATTTCGTCAATATTAAATCAGTTATTTGTTCGCTGCTCAAATTTTGGAAACGGTATTTAGCACTCCCTTGTTATCATTTTACCGTTCCCTCGTCCCTCCCTCTCTCTCTCTCTCTCTCTCTCTCTCTCTCTCTCTCTCTCTCTCTTAATAGTCACAAGCAAAATGGTAATCTTATGTTATACTCTTAGAGCACATCCACTCGAATGGAGAAATAAAGATGCAGAACAAATGCATAAAGTTTTATGCATAATATATAGTTCAAACTTCATCAAATTCAGGTAGTTATTCGCCTGGAAACGGTTAGAACTCCCGAATTTTAAGCCATTTATCCCATATTTATCTCTCTCCTTAACCGAACCAGTTTCCTCTTCCTCTGTTCCCTCTCTCTCTTTCTCTCTCTCTCTCTCTCCTTCCTGTCTCCTCTGTGTCTCCTCTGCATTCTCGCAATCAACTAGAGAAAGTCTTCTCCAATCAAAGGTCTTTCTCTCTCTCTCTCTCTCTCTCTTCGAATTGTTTATTCAATTTCTCTCCTTTTCTTCTAACCACATTTGCAGCAAACTAATGACGATAACTAAAAAAAGAGGTATTTTTTTAACTGCAGGGGCTGTCGATCTCTTGCATATCATCAATGGCTTTAAGCTTCCTTTCCCAATTCTTCGAATTTGACTCAGAAGTCACTGACGCCGTCATGGGCTTGCTCATGCCTGAATGCTCCTCTATTCACTCAGTCGACTTCGTCTTCTCATCCCCTCCGCCGCCTCCTCCACCTCCGCCGTTGAGTTGGCCGGAAAGTGGAGAAACAGTTCGCCAAATTGTTTCACCGCAGAGTGTGGCGGCTCGGGAGCGGCGAAAGAAGATTAGCACCAAGACGCAAGAGCTGGGCCGGTTAATTCCCGGCGGGGAAAAGATGAGCACCGCTGACATGTTGGTGGCGGCTCATAAGTATGTCAGATTCCTCCAAGCTGAAGAAAGCGTTCTTCAGTACATGAACGAACAAAAGGTTAGAATTCTATCAAATATATTTTATATTTTGATCAAATGTTTTTTAATTTCAGACAACAAATTTTTTTTCAATATTGATAAAATATTAATGTTAGAGAATACAATACTAATAAATTTGATAGATAACTATAATTAAATATTCTTTAAAAAGTTAATTTTATTTATATTGAGAGATAATATGTGATAGTTGAAATCAATAATAAAAATAATGAAATTAATTTTATTAGGATACAAAATTTAATATAATATTCTAAAATAATGTTTTTTTTATTATTTTAATCATATCTTATTTTTATTTTGACTAAAAAACAATTGGGCATTACTTTTGCTATTTTATTTATTAATTTTAATGTTGTTGGTAATTAAATTTTAATAAATAAAATTGTAAATTTTGATGAAATATGTTGCAGGTAAGAAAGGGTGAAGGAGAGGAACTCTTGCAAGTGCTATTAGCTTCTCCAAAAATTCAAGAAAGATTGTCGAGTGAGGGAAAGTGTCTGGTGCCTAAAGAGATGGTTGATGACCTAGTTGCTAAACATCTCATTGTAAATAACTAATTTAGTGAGAGAGATGAAACAATTTATTGAATTTATTTAAAAAAAAAAATAGAGACCAGGCTTTTAGATTTTTTTAAAATAGTAGTCTGTTCACTTTAGTACTAGATAGATGTATGATGGTTTTGTTTGTACATATAGTTTACTCTTTTGAAATGTAATGTTTAATATTGTCTTTTCGTTTGTTTAATTGATTTATTGTCTTTTTTAGTTTATAAATCAACATATTTATCAAGTAGTTCATGATATCAATCTAAAGCTATGCCAGAATAGTAATCGAATCAGTCATAACTATCAAGAGATGGCCTGCTCTATCTCCATATCCACTCCAATTATATATAAAAATACTATTGTAACTCTTGATTCTTTGAAGAAACGAAGATAATGTGACAGACTAAACTCTCCCGACGACTCTTCTGTTCATATCTTTCTCTACGTAGCAATAGCTTCCTAGCTTCAGCATCTTCTTCATGATTTAAGAGCTTATAAGCAAATGACAATTCCTAATCCCTTAACCGTACCACCAATCCAACGCACAAAATATTTGGACACATCAACGACAGTCCACTCCTCTCCTGCATAAGAGACGCTCCCATTTCATCCTACGATATTTTTTTTATTTTTAACATTAAGAACATCATCTCCACACAGCTTACAGATGAAAATCTCCCCACTTAACAATATCAATCCCTCGAAATCTTCCGTGCCAATTGCTTTCAAGGATATTTGGCGATACCAGCACTGACGGCTCCACCACCTTCAACCCTCCACATACTTTTTGAATACTTCTTGACCATAACCATGAGGCTACCTTCTACTCAACAATATCTCCACTACTGCCAAATGTCATTACCCTCAAAATTATGTTGAAATATGATATACTAAACATAATTATCTCCGATTGAAAAATCACTCACATATGTTCCAATTGAAAAATGAAAGTCCATAATATGTAATTACAAGACAAATCAATGACCCAATGCCTTGTTGTTGTAAAGGCCAAAGGCTATTAAATAGAAGCTAATAGAACCCCTTATGTTACCAAGGATATCATTCTCTACACCCTAAATGGAATAGCCCTAGGTTGCCAAGGCCGGGATTAAAAATGGCAATCAAGACAAACCTTCAACCAATACGCTATCTGAACTCTAGACCACGCTCTACCTAGAGGAAACAATATTGGCAAAAAAAGCCTCCCACCCCTTGTAAACATCCCCCTTAAACCAACACGTAGCCCTCATAGCTTCTTATGGTAGAGGCCATGGCTGCTCCAACAATCTTTCATCAACTAGAGGTCACGCCACTAGCAACTACAAAAATAGTCATCCCAACTTCCCTTAGACTAAACATCCCCCTTAAACCAACACGTAGCCCTCATAGCTTCTTATGGTAGAGGCCATGGCTGCTCCAACAATCTTTCATCAACTAGAGGTCACACCACTAGCAACTACAAAAATAGTCATCCCAACTTCCATCAGACTAATATAGCCATAACTTCTCATCCCACCATATAATGCCAAATTTGTGACAAGATAAGACATTATGTCGTAAAGTGATAGTATCACATTAACCTTATCTACGTTCCCTCAACTTCGGCCCAAACTCTATGTACTACCTTTCAAACCATCAACCATGAATGAATCCTTATCTCTTGTGCAACAACTCATTTAGCTTCTGACATCAACTGCCTTTCCAATCTAACACCATTTTCTGGACAACAACAAACTATAGTTGGAAATGAACGAACTCTCTCTATCTTACATGCAGATAATAGTATTATTTTGACTCCACTAAGTACGATAAACATACCCTCAATTCTTAATGTATCACATCTATCTCACAATCTTATCTTTAATAATTAGCTCACCAACAATAATCCATGGTATGTCAATTTTAACATGGCTCGTTACCTCATTTAGAATCAAAATACTTGAAATTCTTCTCTCAGGTTTGTTTTAGTGGCCTCTACCCAATCATATGCTCCACTTCATTATCCAACCACTCATCTAGCAAAGCCCTCTTATCTACGGCGAATTATTATGTCTGGTCACTGGACGTCCAGCAGACACACAATCCAGACGCGCCACGTCACCCAAATACACTGGGTCCCGATGTATTTTGGTGATGTGGCACATCTAAATTGGTGTCCGGACGAATCCTGACACCAGACGTAATAATTTGCCCTTATCTACACACTTCGCCCCATTCAAATGTCACAAAAGGCTTGGCCATCCCCATTGGTCCATTGCACATTTGCACTGCTTGTAACTCAACCCAACTTCAAGACATGTACTGCATAAACCAGTTTTCAAGAACTTTTTATAATTTAGCGAAAATTCACAAATTATTATTTTCATTTACATATTATACATTCCAATATATGGGGTCATTCACCCATAATTTAAAACTAAGGTTATAAATATTATGCTTCATTCATTAATGAATTTTCATACTTTTGTAGGGTATTTCCAATTAAAAGTAAATCTCACTTAACCTCAAAATTTATAATTTAAAATACTATAATTAAACACCAACTCAACACTCAATTGAAAACACTTTGCTCCAATGGTGAGAAATATACAAACCACACCCTACAAAAATAGGGCATTTCTCATCCAATTAGTAAACCCGACACCCTAAATAAAATAGCATAATCAAAAGAAGTCAACCTCCCTTGACCCTTAGTTTAGTGAAAAACAAGGTCAACCTGTAGGAGCAGTTGCAGATGTTCTGGGCGTAGAAGGTGATGTAATGGAGAATCTTCCTTGGCCGCTACGTTTTCGGCTGCGGACAGAATAGATCTGTGTGAGGGTCCGCCGCTTTGGTAGTCTCCGGTTGCTTCAAATGCAAGATTGCCCCTCGCTGATTAGTAATGATTATAGATTGTCTAGACAGATCGAAGAGAGCTTCGTGCGGATGGACATCTTGAATGCCTGATAGGTGGGTGGAAGACCATTGAGAATTGCCATGAGGTATAGTTGTCGTTCGTGAGTTGAAGCGGAACAATGGTCTTTATATTGGAGAGAACAAGTTTGAGAGAGGACGGGGTAGGTGGGGGATGCCGATGATTGAGCCATAGCAGAGGTAAAGCTGGATTACCTCACCTGCTCTGATATCATGAAGAGAGCTCTCACAGCAGGGAGCTTTCATTTAGCAGGAAATAAAACAAATATTGTACTAAAAAAAGTGGTAGTGTATTCATTGCATCATTATTACGTCCTCTGACCTGACGTAGAGCTAGGTTCGGCCGCCAATAACATGTCGCCACGTGCTCTTACTCTAAACCGCGCGGCCCGACGATGATGCGGAGCATATTAGTTAAAATACTCCTTAGGCATATGATATTTAGTTTGTTACAAGAATTCTAGAATGTTCTTGCTTTATCTAGATTTCTTTTGCTAGCTTATAAATATAGGATTTGTAAGAGGGAAGTGAGATGAATGAATATTTTTGGATTTTAGAACAGCTTGGCTGTTTTGGTCTCTTAGGGCTATTTAGCCCTTCTTCTTCTTCCCCATCATGCTTCTTTGATGATTCTCCCCCATCAGATGGTATCAGAGCGAGGTATGACCCTTGACGTCGATCAGGGCCCTGGGCTGCTGCTACATCAACCCTTGACGTCGATCAGGATTTTGGATGCTTTGGGAAGATCATGTATGAAGTTGGGCTATCGACGACGTTCGAAGCCTCCACCAGCCGGCAATCATACGGGCAAATCTACACATTCCCCCGCTGGCAACCATACCAGCGATGCCATCTTCTGGCAACCATACCAGATCGAATCCACCGATGGAAACCATACCATCGGACATCTTCCGTCACGATTCACCCTTTGCGATCTTGGTCGCTCCCCTCACGATCGGCCCACTCCGCCGTTCTGAGTCAGTGCCCTTGCTTGTCCAGTTCCCGCGACCACGAAGGCGTCCTGGATACTCGCGACAGCAGGCATCCGCTCCAATCCCGCTATCAATCACCATCAGCTTCATTTCATCTCTCGCGCCACACCTGGCATTCAATCTGATTGCTATTCGCAAGCTCCTCTGCCCTCGATCAACTTCACCCGCACATCCTGCCGACCGCTCCAGCGCCCAAGCATGCTTCGTCCTTCTCGAACCAGGCCACCACACTCGCTGCTATTCGTCTCTGACTTGCGACCCCACGCTTGGCGCCCATTCCAGCGCTCATCCGCACCTGCGTAATCCTCCTCGCATGATTTCGCTTTCGCTCCAGCACGCGATTTCCCCTCAGATCCACCCGCACAGTCTCGCAACCAAATCCTCGTTGTCTCCATCCCCAACGACCAGATCCATCCCGTCGGACAGCTTCTCGCAAACCCGTGGATCCGCCTCCCGTTCCCGTCTCACGCACGAGTCCGACCATTGTCCACTCTCGTGTTACTCGTCCGCCTGTCCGACCCCATTTCCGATTTCTGATTCCGTTGATACCAAGATCTCTGGCTCTATTCCTGCTTTGATTAGCCACCTCTCCCGAAAGACACGCCGGAACCGCTGAGGCTGTACCGAGAGGAGATGCTCCAGCACCTATGAGGAGTTGACGTGAGCCTGCAGCTAGAGGAATGGGACCGCGTGTACAACTACGCGTATTACAACGATCTCGACAACCTGGATCTAATATCGGGCCTCCGTCGGCTCTCTCTCGGCGAATCAGACAAGTACCCTTACCCTCGTCGCGGAAAGACTGCTCGCCTCCGACCAAGACTGCTTTTCAGATCCGAAGAGCGAGAGCAGATTGTTCTCGCTGGATATGAACATCTACGTGCCACGCGACGAGCGTTTCGGCCACCTTAAGATGTCGGACTTCTTGGGCTACACCATCAAGGCAGTGGCCAAGTCGTTGCTGGCTGTTCTTCAAGCTGTGCTCGACAAGACGCCGAACACTTTCGACAGCTACGAAGACGTTCTTAAGCTCTATAAAAACGGGTTGCCGCTTCCGGATATTCCTCAAGTGCAAGCGCTTATGCCTTACGCCACCCGAACACTTCT